GGCTCCACGGCCCTTCTCGCCCTGGACGGGAGCCCGTCCTTCCGCACAGCACGGCGGTGTGACGAGGACACCGGCTCCGCGGCCCCTGCCCGCCTGGGGTCCTCCCGCACTGTGCGGGCAGCGGGCAGACACCTCTCCAGACAGCAAGGAAGCCACACCCTCGAGGCCCACAGCACGAGAGGACTGCGACTCCCGGTCAAGGCCCCGGATGAGCCGCCTCGGACACCCCGGCGGGTACAAGGCACCCCCATGCCCGGCGCCGGCCGCTCGTCCTGCCTGTGCTCCTCCTGAAGCATCTACGGGGAGGGCGCGGACATCGGGGGGCTCTCCCCCAGATCCGGGACGCGGCCTACTCTCCCGTGAACACGAACTGTGATGGCCTCGGCCCGGGACCCGCGTCAGGTGGGGCGCGTGCTCCCGTCCACGTGATGGGAGGGGGCTGTGATGCGTGGCCCCTCGCGGGCCACACTCCACGTTCCCACACCGTTTATCATCACGTGTTCGAAGTGACCGTGCTGAGCCGTGCCGGGGTTGGGCTGGCGCCCCCACTTCCGGCTGGCACCCCACGGCATCGTTAGCATCTACGAGAAGCCCCTAGGGAAAACTGTGGCCCCTGGGCGGGTAGTTTGCTGTTTTTCGTCAGGAAGCTCCTGGCATTTGCCATACCAGACCTGTCACCTACGTGACTCGTGTCTGCACGTCAGGACCGTTTGGCCTCATCTAATGCCGTCCGTGTGCTGAGACTTGACCATGACCTGCAACCGAGGCCCGAACTCTCGTCTTTACAACCGTGTCCCCCCGTAAGCCATCTGGGGGTACAGCTCTGGGACCCCCACGTACAGATTCACGAGACCGCCCCCATGGCACAGAACCCGATGCAGAACACTGCGTCACCCCCGCTGGCCCTCGTGCTGGCCTCTGCCGTCACGCTGTCCCCACCCGACCCCGGCCCGTCTGTCACGGCCGCCGTGTCCTTCGGAAACGGTCCGGGGAGTGGACTGATGCGGGACGTAACCCGTGAGACCAGAGCCTCGCCCTCGGCGTCCCGCCAGCTCCCGTCACGGCTGAGAGGCGGCGTCCGCTGAGGGACAGGCTTCCACGCAGCTGCAGGTCAGCGGCGCCCCCGTCCCTGCTCAGCCCGCCACCCACTCACCGGGCGAAGACGGTGCCGCTGCCCCCGGGGAAGGTGTAGGGGTGCTGCTTCCGGAACACGTGACCCACGCGGCTGCAGGGAATGATCTCCAGGCTGCCACCGCACTGCCACACGCGGAAGGAGATCTCTGCGGGGGGACAGGGTGACAGGCAGAGCCTGGGGCTGCTCTGCACTCGCCCACCCCTCCAGGGACAACCAAAACAGATCACAGACTACATCACTGTCCCTAAATCTGGGAAAAAATAGTTCACACGAGGTATTTTAAAAAAAAGTCAAACCAAATAGGACGACTCGCCAAGTAGTCGGGAAGGCACTGACGCCAAGGCCTCACCCGGCCCGATGCCCGTGTCGCCCACCCGCCCGGCGGAAATGAGTCCCACCGCCTGAGACGTGATCCCACTTTCCTGAGCTGCTCCCCAAGCCCTCGGAGTCAGAGAGCGTCAGAGTTGGCAAGAGCTTATCTGCACCCCAGCATCCCGCCCGCTCAGGGTGACATTTAACACCCGACGCTGACGCCTGCAGGCGTGACGCCCGCTCATACGCGTGCAGGGCCCGGTCACCTGCAGACGCCTTTAAAGGCGCCCCGGCCGGTGCCCCGCACACCCCAGGGCCCGTCTCCGCGCCCCGTCAAAGCCCCCGTTCTCGTCGTGACGCTGACGGTGGCAGGAGGCCGGGGGAGGCTGGGGCCTCACCAGCGTTGGACAGCGGCGGGCGCCCGAGGCCGCAGGTCGTACGTACCCAGGTTCTCGCCTCCCCACACGTCCATCATCATGTCGTACTTCCCCAGTTCTTCAAAATAGAGCTTGTCCATCACGAAGAGCCCGCCGGCAATCATGGGGGTTCTAAAGGCGGGGGAGAGGTCGGAGGTCAGAGGTTGAGGCTGGGTCCCCAGTGGTGCTTCGCCAAGGTGTCGGCCCCCCCACCCCCACTCCAGCACCGTGGTCCTCAGACACCCAATAGGGCGGGCGGCGAGCACCGGCTGGCAGCGCTGACACATGGCAAGCCCCGGAGGACCGGAAGAGGCAGCACACGCGGCCGGCACACGGAGCGAGCCTGGTGCCCGTGGCCATCGCAGCGCTGGCCCTGCCAGGGGGAGCGTGCCCGTCCCACGGACCACCAGCGCCCACGGCCCGGTCGGCGCGGGGAGGGTCCCCGAGCCTCTGCACAGCAGAGACACGTGAGGACAAATCCAGCGTCCGGGGCTGGCGAAGCCTGCAGCGCACCAGGGGCTCTGCGGCCACGGGATCATGGGCGGCCACGCCTCACCTAACGGTCATGAGCCCTGCTCTGAGAGGCCACCCGACCCCTAGCACGCACCCCGCCGCAGGGACCCGAACGCCAGCTGTTCCCGGTGGCAGACAGCGGGCGAGGGGGCAGCAGCAGAGGCCCCGGCCCCGGCCCCGGAGGCCGATCTGGTCCACACGGGAAGGACGAGGAACACAGAGCTGGCGTGTCCACCTTAAGGACACACACGGACACATTACTGAACTCTGTGATCTGCTGGCAGGTCCCTGGGCCAGACGAGGGGACGCGGGCCAGGGCCAGGGTCTCACCATGGGGAGCGCCCGCGGCGTCCGGCACTTACTTGATGGGGGCCACGGGGTTCCCCTGCCGAGCCCGTCTCTGCTCGGGCGTCATGTAGTCCCACTTGAAGACCAGGTTCCAATCGAAACCTGCCGGACACAAGGAGAGACGCGGGTGCTGACGACGTGCTGTCCGCTCCGCGCAGCTAACAACACTGGTCCCTCGACGAGACGCGCTGATCACCAGACGGGGCAGGGGACACAGCAGACGGCACGGCAGGGGCGTGCGCGGGGACCTGGTGTCCCCGAGGGTCTGCGCGGGACAGGCTCCCCTCAGGTCAAGACACAGGAGTAGGGGAGAGACGAGAAGCAGGCTCGGTGGCAGAGGACAGGGCAGGGGACAAGATTATGTGTCCCCTGGGCGCGAACTTGACCTGCCCGATCCCTCCTTCTCCTCTGATTACTGTCCAGTTACAGCTGAGACACAGTGTGGCGTGAGCTTCAGGCAGCGGACCTGACAGCTCGACCAGGGGCTCGGGACCAAAACGTTCGCAGGTGTCCCTGCAGAGGGAGGGAGTGGCCGGGGGCCGGGCAGCGGGGACAGCGCCGGGGGGTGAGGGGAGCTGACGCAGACCACGGCCGCCCCCCGAGGCCTCAAACACAGCAGCGCCGTCGACGGGGAGGACGGCATCCCGGCCGTGCCCTGTCGTCGGCAGGGGACGCGAAGGCCTCAGCTGGCTGAGCCCCCGTGACGTCGCCTCCGTGTTTTGAACGTTCAGAATGATTTTATAAATTTGGTCCTAAGAGACAAGCCACGTTAGATTTTAAGAACCTGCTAAAACTTCATCCTCGACTTTTCTCCTGAAGGGATTTCGTGGCACGCTCTTGGAGGGACCTTGGCCACGCCCTTCTGGTCCAGCAGGAGGCCTGTGCCCCACCGCAGAGCCTGTCGCTGTCCCCACACCCGCACGGACACGAGCCGCGACGTGGGCGAAACGGAGCCCGTGACGTCTCGGCCCCCACGACCACGGGGCCTTGGCAGCTAAGAAGCTGCCGTCTTTCAAGCCCCGAACCTTCTCGGCAAGAGCGCAGCTTCCCCCCGGCCTTGGTTTCTCGCGTTAGTCCTTCCGGCATGAGGAGCCTCTTGCTGAGGCCTGGGGAGCAGCTGGCCACGGCCCTGCCCTCACTCCGGCCACACCAGTCCCTCCGTGACCCTCTGTGGCAGCACGATTAGCACCCGGTTTCTCAGATGGGGTGCTGGGAGCACAGGTGAAACAGGCCGCCCACAGCGGGAGGCAGGAGGCGTCAACGGCCCGAGTCTCGCTGCCGGTCCCGGCGTTGACCGAGGCTGTGTCCAAGCGGCCAGCTCCGTCTTCTCCGATGCGAGGCTGTCAGCTGACCCTCTGTCCGGAACGGTCCGTCTTCCAACGAGCTTGAAGAGCAAAGAGCGGGGAAAGAAGCCCCTCGCTCGATGGTGGACACGGAGCCCCAATGCGGGGGGCGGGACCGGCAGCGCCCGGTCATCAGCGGCCGTGGCCCGGGCGGCTCTCAGCTGTCCCTCTGGCCTTGGTGGAGCTCTGAGCGGCGAGGCCACCAAGCAGCCGAGGTTCAGAGCACAGGGCACCGATGCCCGGCTGTGGCAGGGTCCTGGGGCGCACAGGTCGCCCTGCTACACACGCACAGTTCTGGGGACGCGGGCGTGACGTGGCCAGCTCCTTCGAGGGGGCAGTGAGTCCTGCATGTGTGGCAGCCTCAGGCAGCACCCGGGGACCACAGACGCTGCCGGGGCCCACGACACCAAAACCACCGAGACCTCACGTGCCTCTTCCAAGCTCATTCTTTCAAAAGTGCCCCGTGGGGGGTCGGGAAGCTGCGGGACAGGGACGTCGGCCACTGCCGGACAGCGGGGCCCGTCCTGTCTCGTGCTTCGGCAATGGCCCGGCTGCCCTTCCCGATGCAGCGAAGGCCGACACGGCCCAGTCCACCAGGCTCTCTGGGGCCTCCGGTCAGTTTTAAGAAGGTAAAGAGAGTGTGACACCCATCACTCGGGGGGCTCCGCGGAGGGTGGGTTTGAGGGGTCACAGTGGAGGCTGCGAGGGCCGACAGGACACAGTGGTGGCCACTCAGACCCAGGTTACCCGAGAGTGACGTGGATGGTCCGGGCAGAGAGGCGGGGCCCAGAACCACCCACGCGTTGGGG